TGAGGAGTATCATTCAGTTTTTTATTTTAGCTTTTCCTATGTGAAAATTCACTACTGGAAACTTTTGTCTTAGGAATGTTTTCATTGGGTACCATAAGAGTTTCTAGTATGTCAGACTGGAATTATTATTTGATTTAAGGAACTTTCTAATTTCTTCAGCTTCATCTGTGACCCAATGATTATTCAAAATAATGATCAATAATGAAGTAATTATTATTTACTTTCCATATGTTTATATATTTTTGTGGTGGATTTTGCCACTAATTTCTGGTTTCATTGCTTTATGATCTCATAATATGCATGAAAAATTTCAAATATTTTGCATTTATTTAAGCATGCTTCATGGGTTAGTATGTGAACTATTTTGCAGACAGTCCGATGTGGTGCTGAAAACAATTGTGTCGTTATGTGGAACACTATAGACACCTATTATGTCTCTTTGTTCAATAGTTTGGTTCCACCCTGATGTTTCATCATTGATTCTTGTGTGGTTGATAGGTCAGTATGTTAAATTCCCAACTTATGTACATTTGAATCACAAACTTCCATAGTTAAAGCAGTAAAACAAATGCGAGATCTACTCATATCTGTGAAATTCTTACTGTGCTTACATACAAGGTGTGTAAAACTCACTTTGTGGGACTTGCAAAGGCATCCAACTTATGAATGATCTCCCAGAATGCAGTTCTTTCATAAGTTGAGGACTTGCTGTACTGAAGTTCCTCATTACAATGGCACTGGTGCTTAGTGTTTGTTTTCTGATCAGTCTTAGCTTGACATTTACTTTGAATGCAATTAGCGTAGCCACTCCTGCTTTTCTCTGGGTTCTTCCTGCTTGTTTTGTGTTCTTTTACTTTCATTTCATTAATCTTTTTTTGGGGGGGGGTGCAAATATGTTTCTTGTATGTACCATATTATTGGATCTTGTTTCAGATCCATTCTGCTAATATTTGCCATTGTTGGTGAATCAATACCACTAACAACATTTAAATATATGAAACAGAAAATAAGCAAAATTGGCAGAAAGGTACCTGTATTTTGTAAGGCAACAAATTTTCCATGAAGCTCTTTGAGTTAATCAGCTTTCCTTTTTCCCAACACAATATCCAATGCTCATGACTTAAAGGAAAAATTCTTTCATTTAACTCACAATTTGGGAAAACTGGTATACGGTTGGCTGGCTACAAGGGTAAGACATTAAGGCAGGAAGGTGTGGTGGAGCTAGTATGCTCAATTCACAGCACCCAGGGAACAGAGCAGGAAAACAGCAAAAGAGAAAAATGGTAAAAAATTATATATAGTTCCCAAGGTCATGGTTTATAGTGCATGTTTACAATGCTTTGTGATTACATTCATCGTGGGGCATTAGTATTTGTCCATAATACATCCTATTCTTTTCATCCCTCTCTTTCTCCTTACTTCCCTGGCCTCTTGCCATCTCCTGGTTCTCTTCCCTTCTGCAGAAGATCTCCTTCCCTGCAACATTCATGCATTTATTCATTTATTCAGAGACCATGGTCTCCCTAAGTCACGTAGGCGGGACTAAAGCCTTGTTATCCTCCTTGATGCTTTCCGAGTGTTGGATTATAGGCAGGTACCATCAAGTATAGATATGGTTTGGATTTTTATTGTTATCTGACTCCAAATATACCAAGGAAAAATGAAAGTACATTCAGGGACTTTAATCAATTTGATTACAAAATGACTTTTATCTCTCTGCGTGGGAATAAAAGAAATACAGAGGTTTTTCATTCAAAGAAATATTATGGTTTCATATAAAAAAATTAAAACTGTATTTATGGTAAGTCTATTTAACTTACCTCTATTAACATCGCTCCCTGGATGTCATGCAGAATACTTAATGGCAATGTATTAAAAAGTGAAAATGAAAAAAAGTTCCAGAATTTATTGAAATAAAAAGTCACAATATACAGTGAAATGATTCATTTAAAAAGTTTTAAAGTGTGCACTTGGTGAAGAAGCTCACTATATAAACGACACTGAATAAGAATTTTCAAAGTTGTTTCTGTTTATTACAAGTATTTTATTGTGTGAAAAGTAAATGAAGGGGCCTAGGGATGCAGCTCAGTTGGGAGAGCACTTGCTCTCGTGAACAAGGCCCTGAGTTCCAGGCAACATCTGAAAAAACAAACAAAAAATAGACATACTATGAACAGGGACACAGGAAGGTATAAATTGACTGGAATTATATAGGAACAGGAGTATTATCTTAAATTAGGTCATTTTACTATTTTATTGTTGGAAAATTAATTTTGGCCAGTAAACACACATTGTTTAAGAAACTAAATTTAGTAAACTAGTCTTTAATTATCCTTTGGGCAACTCTATATTAGCACTATTCTCTTGCAATGATTTAGCTTCTGTAATAATGATAGAGAACTGAAATGGATAGGGAATCTATCCATAACTTCTCAATTGATAGAGAATCTGAAATTATTGCTGCTCATAAATAAGAACCAAAAAATATTCCAAAATATTAAATGTTCCAAAGAAATAGACTTGGAAACAATGAGAAGTACTTCTTCTGGTTTGTGTCTAGTTGTCCCCACAGAGCCTCATGCAGTCATTGAGGAGCTTCTAGAGTTTGTGATTAATTCATGATCTAATGCTGGGATTATGAGTGTGAGTGCTGCTGGGATTATGGATGTGAGTGCTGCTGGGATTATGGGTGTGAGAGCTATACTGCCATGGCGCAGATAGCCTGGATGCTATATAAGGAAGTGAGAGAGGCTTGCTCTCCGTTGCCATCCGTCTCTTTTTGCTCTTGCTGTTTTGCTGTTTTCTGCCACCATGGAGTGTTGCCCTCTGCTATGTGTCACTCTGGCTTGGAGCCCGCTGAGCATGGACTGAAACCTCCATGAACTGTGAGCTAAATCAACCTTTCCTTCCTTAAGTTTGGGTGTCAGGTGTCCTGTCCCAGGACTGAGAGAAAAGTAACTGAGACAGTATTTTTCTCACTTTTGAGTTCTTTTATTTCTATGCCATTTCTGATTGTGGTAAATATGGAGAGAGTATTGTGCCTCTCTCCTACCCACTCAGACATCTGTCTATTTTACATGTTGGTTAAGTAGTAAGATAAAAAAAAATCTACTTTACAAGTTTAGAGACTCTATTACTCCTTTCTAGAGTTCCCAGTGAAATGCCTTGTCCATCCTGATAAGCCAACGATACTGATTAAAGTAACGCCCAGCAGATTAATTGAGTGTGATTCTGTATGGGTCTGAGGGGCTCATGGGAGTACAGCCTTCAGGGACTGCACACTTCCGCACTGGCTCCTCACTGGAGCTGCTGTCTGCATCGCTCCCTGGATGTCATGAGCTAAGAGACTTTTCTGCTATAACCTTCTGCCATAAATGTTGCTAAAATTTGGGCAATAATATCCTATTAACATGTTCTGGTAAATTATGTGCTTGAATCAGAAATCTCTGTGCTTTTTTTTATAAAAGAATATAATTGCTATCAACTCAATAATATCAGAATTACCATTCCAATTACTTATAATATACAGTCTAATTTTGTTTTTGCATATTAGTCCATAATAATTATTTGATTTTTTAAAAAAAAAATTAATGGACTTGAATGAATTAGAGGATCACTTTGCACAGATATAATAGAATATCTAATTTGTCCCCATTTCTACTTTTCTTTGCTACTTCTTTTAGTCCTTATTAATCCAATTTTCTAGTAGCAAAGTGACCTGAGAAGACAGGAAAGAACCTGATGTTCGTTTCAATACCACAGCCCCACTGGATATTCAAATACTTATTGGCAGAGCAAAAATCATGCAGTTGGATTATATTCTCCATGCTTAGCTCTGTTCTTTTTTTCCCATAAAATTTAAGCAAACTTTCCTTGAAATGAGCTAATATAAACATCCTTTTCTTTTCCTCAACAAAAATGTGTATAACTTGTCTGGGCTATTTTTAAGCAAAAAGTAAGCTTTATATATTGTTTCTTAAATTGAATTTTGCAGAGAATTGCATTTTAAAAAGCCATGTAATGTGTCCTTTTTGTAAAAACATGTTCTTGAAACTTGTTTTTCCTTTGATTTTTCAGGGGCACTTTCACGTTACTAGGAAGCTAAGCTGGGAGGACAATAACAAAACTATTTCGTGGCCTCATGGCAATTTTAGCTGAGAGCGTAACAAAACATTAAGACTTTCCTGAGTTTTTAAAGGTCTTATTTTATAATTACAAATACTAAGATACTGATAAAGAACTAGAACTTTCTAGTTTTCTACTCTTTCATGGAAGTCTTGGCTGTTTAAGTCCATAATCATTATTGAGATGAACTTCTTAGGCAACATTGATTCTTTATTGTGCCTTTTGTTTCTCATCTTTAATGGTTACACGGTGACTGAAATCAACGTTTAGAAGTCATGGAAATAACCTGGGCATCTTTGTACAACAGCAAAGGCAAAGTACCTGAATTTCATCAAGCTATTAGTCAATTAGAGAAATAAAACTTTTAAGTCTAACTTCAAAATATAATTTCTAAGAATTTACTATGGTCTACAATGCAAATATACCACATTTCTTTCATGTGCAAACCCTATTTTCATCTTATCTAGTTTTTAAAATCATGGAGTAATCATTACTGGTTGAATTTTAGTTACACATGGTCTAATTTGTAAGAGCCACACATGTAACAGTATCATCGGATGAGTATGTTTTCATTGGAACTTATTTGTAAAGCACAAAATCTAGTCTGATGTTAAGGAGGTGGGCTGCTACTCTACGAGAATGCCATTCTTGACAGGCCTTTGTGAATTGTTTGTAAGTACTAAACTGGACAATGAAAGCTTTATACTCATTCTGTAATCAGCCACAATAATTCTGCTTAATCTCTGTTAAAGATCTCTAGAATGAAATGAATGTAAAATATTCATTCTTTATCATTCTTTCTGGCTCCCTTTTCACTCTCGTGCTTATCAAAAATAACCCTCTAAGTTACTTTTTCACTGCTTTTCATGTTGCAGATTGAAAATGTTGATGTCTGCCTTAGTTTTCTAGCCGCCAGAGGAGTAAATGTTCAAGGTCTATCTGCTGAAGGTAAGAAAAGCACAATTATCATAAGCAGCATCAGTGTTCAGAAAGATGTGTTAGAGTGTAAGAAATGTGGTGTTGGATAATGTGGTTCCTTAACGTAATGACAAATTTGGTGAGATTTCCAAAGTACTAGAAACATAAACATAATAGTTACAAAAGTATTCTTTCATTATTTAAATATTTTCCACATTTTATCATAATTGTTTTTGTGTGATTGAGAAGTGGCAAACCAGCAAAACACCATCTTCTTACTAACAGCCTGTAGCATTTTCAGATTTTGAAGTAGATTCATGAATGATGAGATAAGTATTAGATAATATTGAATAGATGAAATTGAATGCAGATGAAATTGCTTGTTGAATGCTCAAATATTATTTTATTAGTAGTAGTGTTACTATAATATAATTAAGTTAGTAGTGAGGGTCAAAATATTCAATGCACCTAAACAAATCTTGAGTTCTTAAATAATTAGAGTGAAGTAATTGAAACTTTTACATGGAAATAATTTTAAAACGTTGATAGTTTGAAAACTCAGCACTACTTTTGATATATGAAAAGTAGGAAAAGATGGAACTAGGTTTCCCCTTCATTTGTTTAGAGAGCTTTTTCTCCCGCATATAAAAGTGACACTTTTTCAAAAACATAATACAAAGTTTGAAATGTGTAAGAAAACTAAGTGATGTTTCTGCTTGTCTATTTTCCTCCCTCATGTCATGCTACCTTTCAGTTTTTCTTCCAACTGTGTACTCATTTGTCATTTTAAATCATATGTATCAGGTCTATTACATTGTGATAAGAAGTTTTTTTCTTAGATTACTAAAGTATGACTACTAAAACAATTGGATTTTGATAATATTTTTAGGAGTCCCTGCAAAAAATTTAAATATTGTTGATAAAAATCGGTTTCTAAGATTATGAGGTAGAAAGTTTTATGGCATATGGAGCAACAATACTATTTGGGGCTGGGGAGATGGCTCAGTGGAATAAGCACTTGCCTAGCAAGTGCAAGGGCTTGAGTTCAATGCCCGGTTCCACAAAAAAAA